CGTAAAGAATAAATGCTTAGTAAGTTTATGGTTCTGGAGGCTGGGAGGTCCCAGATTGAGGGCCCCCATCCTTTTCTGCCGAGTCCCAGTGCAGAGCAGGGCATCGCATCATGAGAGGGGAGCATCCATGAGAGCCCACCTGGCTTTTATAACAGACCCACTCTTGAGATAACCATTATTCCATTAATTCACAAGGGCAGAACCCTTATGATCTCATTATCTTTTAAAGGTCACCTGGTCCCACTCCTTAACATCTCACAATGGGGATTAAATTTCAGCATGAGTTTTGGTGGAGACATTGAATACAGCAGTCATGTTTTTTCAATCTTTGCAAGCATGACTCAACATGAATAATTTTCAGGTGTTTGTGCTGGAGGGAGGAAGTATCAAAGGAAATTCTTGCAATGACCTTTCTTTTCTCTGTAAAGTAAGATGAGAGGACAGCTCTTAAGGGATAGTCGCAGAGTCCCTGAACTTCCTCCTCAGTCAACTTGCATTAGCTGAGTCCATACCAGATGTCTAGACCTAAACGTTAGCTAAGGTAGGTGGGGGAGGAGAATGAGATGCTTTCCAGCAGAGGTCTAATAAAGATTAGACTGTGTAGCTCTGGTGCACTGCAGTAGAAACTCATAGGAAAGAGACATGGGGATAGGATTCCACTGTCTATGGATTGAACTCATCAGGGAAGACTATGCCAACTTTCTTGACTTCTTGTAAAATTAAGAATCACAGTTTTAGGCCTGCAAGGAAACACAAATACAAAGGGGCCCATTGAAGTGAAGATCTCTCTGCTGAAGGTCTCATAAGAAGTGAAAGGCAGAATCCATACTGGAACTATGGACTAGTGTGTTATTTTACCTGCCAGTCAAGAATGCAGACATGTCTTCCTTTGGTCATAAACCAGAGATCTGACAGTGATGAAAAATGAAAAGACAAATAAGGGAAAACAGACCATCAAGAACAATCCTAAAAGCTCATGACCATTTAATCTACAAACTGTTGGAAGTAGCCATCATATTTATAGCAATTTGTCTGACTTACGAGGATAATAGAAATACATTATTCTCACGTTAGTCTCCCAGGTGAAACACAAAGCAGTAAAGTGACTTAACCTACGTCACTTTACAAGTTACAGCAAAAGAGAGTAAATTAACACGGGCTCTGTATAAACTGCAAGAATAACGGGCAGGACCCCTATACATCATAGCCACTTTCCCGTCTCAGTTACATGAATTTTGTCCTTGTACCGAGTGTCAGATTCATTGGCTCTACTTCATTTTGCCCATGGAGAAAGCACTAAACTTGGGCAGCTCATCAGTACACTGAAAAAATAAACCAGAAATATATTGATTAAATTATTCATAGTCAAGCTACTCTTACAGTCCTCATTTTTCCCATCTACATCTTTACCAGCACAAACAAGAGTGTAAAAATCACTCCCCACTGTCTGTGAGAGACAGGATGTAATGAGGGTCATTCAGAAGTTCTCTCCACTATGAAAGTGCCCCAAACATTAACTCCTTACTGTAGTAACACACTTAGGAAGAAATTGAAACAGGGTATGCCAGTGTTAGAGAAATATCATGACACAATTACAAGAAATCTTCAGAGTAGTCACCAAAATCAAACAAAATGTTCACTGGCAGTAAAAATATGTGTCCTCCGTGTTTTCAAGAAGACTAGTTTTCAGTTCAACTGGTTAGTTGTGTTATAGATGATCCACCCATACCAGCCACACCTTCTCAGGTTGAGGTCCAAAGGGCAGCAGGTTATTACCGCTGCTTGAAGATGATGCTTAGAGGAACCTGGTTCTAAACACCAACAGTCCAGGCATCTCTTGATAGCTATAAATACACCAAGGGTGCAGAAAGAAGCTGTACCTGTGAACGCTGGTGTGCTGTCACCATGCCCATCCCAACAGACATTGTTCCGGGCAGGAAAGTAGATAAAGGCATGCAAGGAAAAGCAGACACTAGAAGCAAAGGCAGTAAGGGGTGAAAGAGAAGGGCAGGTCTGTATGTAGAGTGTGTATCCATGCTAAGGCTGGGGCCCTATCTCTAATGGCCTCACATGGAGGGCTAGCAAGTTGAGATTTTAACATGTATTGTGTGGCCACGCTTAGACTGGTGCTTCTGATCAATCAGCTCCACCTGGCAGCTAAGAGTGGAGTTTGCATCTCAGGGAAGGAATCCCATTCTTACACTATTGCGCCAAACTAGGTGAGAAATGCTAACACCCTGGTCCACAGACCCAGAGAGGAAGGAGACACAACCAAAAGACTTTCGTGGGTCACTGGAATCACTCAAAAGACTGTAAGGGGGATTCTTTCAGCTGAAAGTAGAAAAATATCAGTGTTAAAGCAGCGAAGGTCAGGCAAAAACTTAAATTAAAAATCTTTATAAATAGTCAATCATCTATTTACTACCTGCAAAGAGGCTATTTTCAGGAAATATCACTTATTTAATCTTTTTGTTTTCTCTAATACTCCAGCGGTTTTTCGTGTACTGGAGTAAATAATTACCAACTGTGCAGTGTTCTTCAAGAGAGAAAATGCTTACTCTTCAAACCTGAGATGCAGCTGCATAAGCAAATTACCCTACAGTGTAAATATGTATCAGAAATCAATTTGAAACAAATATGGTATCATCTGCAGGAAGTGTCAAGGCATTTTTCCATTCATTTTATTTAACACAAGGAAAACAAGAGGAGAAGGTGAAAACAAGACGATAAATTATTTCACAGTTTCTAACACGGGACGCTCCTGCAAGAGAAGCAGTGTGAGAGACACCAAAAATAGCAATATGAGAAAAGAATGCCCTCTTCCCCCCGCCAGGACTGCTCAGACTCGGGCGCCCCACCTGAGGAACGCTCTCCCAGCAGCAGGAGTGTGGGCAGCTGATCGACTGATCAGTTAGGGACAGGCGAGAATTAAGCCCCGGCCTAGACTTAAGGGACAAGCGTCTCTCTGAGGGCGGCCCTAGCTCCAGAACTCCTTCTGTGGAACTAAGGCCTCCACGGTAAGTGCCCAGCCCTCACCTCTCCCCGTCACCCCTCCCGGGTGATGCTCCCAAGGGCACCTTCCCATAGACCTCTCACACAGAAATCTCAGAGTCCTTCCCCAGGAAATCCAACCTACAGAAACCTACCAGGACCACAAAGAGTTTTTATGAGCAGTATTACACAGAGGGAGGGTGTCACTGTAAAAGTAGTATAAAATGTACTAGGTCTTGAATAAAAGGAGCCGTATTTCCTACTTATGCTCTAAAGCTAACAGCACAGAGATACAGACAGCATACACGTGGTCTAGAAGGCTTTGCACATAAAGGAATTTGCAAAACTGTTAAAGAATCACAGCAAAAATGTGGATACTAGAGATAAAAATGTGGATACTAAAACAACCTGCAGTTCTTCACCTGGATTCTTAGTTTTTTGGTTAGTGAGTCATATATCCATACATAGTTTTTATGTTTGTTTTTTCTATCCCTTCTCCCCACAGGATGCTTGGCAATGTTTTTTCGATAAAGCGGGGGTGGGGGGTGGGGTGAAAAATCAAAAGATAACTGGATCCTGACTGCCACCTAATGGAATTTTGAAATATTAAAGCCTCCATCATGGGAGGCCTGCTGGCCAACTGACTATCAATAAAACAGCTAAATGTAGCCATATGTAACTTTGGGCCACTCATTTTAGTTTTTTTATTGTTGTTTTGTTTTTTTGGTACCGGGATCGAACTCAGGACCTTGCACTTGTGAGGCAGGCGCTGAGCTAATCCCCAGCCCTGGGTCTCTCACTTTGAAAGAGCAAAACCTGGGACTCTGTTTTCTGTAAACGGTGGCACATACCTATAATCCCAGCACTCTGAGAGGCTGAGGCAGGAAGACTGCAAATTTGATCTCAGACTGGGCAAGTTAGTAACTTAGCAAGACACTGTCTTTTTTAAAAAAATATGAAAAAAAGGCTGGAGATATAGCTCAGTGTGAGGGTCCTGGGTTCAAATCTCTAATGCTACAAAAACCCAACTATCTCTCTTTCCTTGTCTGCACGTGGGAAGGCATACTGCCCTCTCCCTCAGCAGCCTGTAACAAAGACTATTCTTTTTTCATTAATTTTATTTGTACATTTTAGGTATACAATATGTTGACCTTCATTACTGGGAGTTTGTACCTTTAATATATCTTGGTTCTTAACAAAGACTATTCTATTATCCACTGTGCAATGAAAGTGATGTGAAATATTTTTGCTCATTTTCTCCTTTTTTCTATACAGTATGTTCAAGGTGAATTTTTCTTTTTTTTTTTTTTTTTGGTACCAGGGATTGAACTCAGGTCCTTGTGCTTGCGCAGCAGGCAGCGAAACCACTGAGCTAAATCCCCGGCCCTAAGGTGAATTTTTTTGTTGTTGTCACTGGGGATCAAACTCAGGACCTCACGCTTGCCAGGCAGGTGCTGTGCCCCTGAGCTAAATCCTCAGCCCTTCCTTTTTCCTAAGATAAATAATCTGCAGGCATCATGAATATGGGGGTGGGAAATATTAAGATAAAGAGGATACTTTTAGAGGCATTGAGGCAGAAAAATCCAATTAACTCTGGATTTAAAAGACTGTGGTGGGCCAGGAATGTAGCTCATTGGCACAGTGCCTGCCTGGCAAACGTGAGGCCCTGAATTCAATTCCTGCTCCCCGCCCCCGCAAAAAGACTGGTGAAGCTGGGCATGGTGGAGCACCCTTGTAACTAGTGCTCTGTGAGGCTGAGCTTGCAAAGCTATTTTAACTCCTAGAGTTCCCCTCAACTCTTTGCTGCTCTTCCCCACCATTCCCATTCACACATACACCCCAAAACCGCTCCAAAAGGTGTTATAGCCGGCTCATGAATACTTTTCCCCATCTTTTTACTTTGAAAAATGTCAAACATATAGAAAAGTTGAAAGATTAGTACAATGAACAATTATATATCTACCTAATGCCAAAGACTAACATTTCTCCCTATGTGTGTGTGTCCACAGATATGTACATGTACATGTGAATTATGTAAAACGTCACATATTTTCACCAAACCATTTGAAGGTAAGTTATAAATGTTAGGACCTTTTATCCCTAAATACTTAATTTAAGCACAAGACATTCTCCTAAGTAACCCTAAAGTAAGTTCACACCTAATAAAACTAACAATAATTCATTATCATCTGATATTTAGTCCATACTCAAATGTCCCAAAATCTTTTATAGCTTTATTTTTCCAAACCAGGATCCAGTCAAGATATACTCATTGCATTTGATGGTTGTGTCTCTTTATCTCCTAATCTAGAACAGTCCTCCAATTTTTAATGACAATGGGTTTTTGTTTTTTTAAAGAACTTAAGTCCATTTACTAACTGAATGTCTCACATTCTGGGTCTGATTATTCCCGCATGGTCATTCTACTTGTGCCTCAATGCCTGTATTTCCTGTGAACTGGAAGTTGGATAAAAGGCCTAGTAATATTAAGGTTAAGCATTTTGGGCAGAGTTCCTTTACATGTGACACTGTTACATCACGTTGCATCAAATCAAGAGGCAAATGAAGCTGGGTCATCCCACAATAGTGGCACTAAATTTGACCACTGGGTTAAGTCAATGATTGCCAAATTTCTTCACACTTCAGTGTGTTTCCCCTTAGTAACTATTAAGCAATCTGTGGTGCATGATACTTTATCTATGTGTGACGCCTTGATTCTATGTGTGACGCCTTGATTCTATGTATCCACTGTCCCTTTCGCTACCTTTCTCACCACGTGAGTTTTAGCTTTTGATGATGATCCTTGCTTGAATCATTTGGGATTGCAAATGGTGAACTTTCCAATTCTATCACTCTATCTACCTTTATTGGCTACATCTATTTCTTCTACAAGGAAACCCCCCCATTCATTTTCAGTATCTCTGGATTTAAAGATTTAAAAAGTGCATTCAGTGGCTTGATAATTTATTACAGTTATTACTTTTTAATTGAAGAAAAGAGGCCAAATGGATTCATAGTTGGCCAGTGAAGTTCCCTAAAGATGGGTTCTGTAGGCTTTTAACTTCCTATTAGTTTTGGGAAACTTCCTTGCTTTCTCAGAGGTGTTTCAGTCTCAACTTTGCACTTTTGTACTTTGTGGGCCTGATATTCAAAATCAACCATTTTTCTAAGAAATGCCATTTCCTTTTTAATGGGGAATGGTAGATAGATATTAAAATATGGGCACCCTCTAATGGGGTGACATTATTTCTAAGAAATATATATTTGTATAATTCTAGCTGAGCATGGTAGCACATGCCTATAATCCAAGTAACTCTAGAAGGCTAAGTCATGAGGATCGCAAGTTTGAGACCAGCCTGGGCAACTTAGCAACTTGGCTAGACCCTGTGTCCAAAAGCAAAAAGGACTGGAGATGTAGCTCAGATGGAGGACGTTGGGTTTAATCCCCAGTACTGCGCCCCCCCAAAAGATTCTAATTCAAATTTAACATCAGAGTTTTTTTCTGTTTATTTTTATTTAGGGGGGTGAGTTTTATGGGTTTTTTTTTCTTTTGCAGAGCTGGAGATTGAACCCAAGGCCTTGTGCCTACTAGTGAAGAGCTCTACTACTGAGCTATATCTCCAACCAATCAAAATTACATTACCATAGTACAAGCAGCAATAAATATATGATAAATAGAGATGCTTGTTTGGGTTCTTCTTGGGCTCAGAATACACATCGTAACACATGTACAGAGTAAAGGATGAACTCACTAATCTGAAAATCCAAAATCTGAAACTTGATACTCCAAGTAGGAAATTCCATATCTGACCTCATATCACAAGTCACGGTTAAAACGCAGGCGCACCAAAAATGTAGAAAATTACTTTCAGGCCACGTTACGGGGTATATGAAAATAATTGAATTTCACATTTAAACTTGCATGCCATCCCCAAAGTATCTCATCTCTTTAGATATACGCAAATATTCCCAACCCCCTCCCACACACAAAAAAACAGAATTCCAAAATACAACTGGTCCCAAGCACTTCAGAAAAGTGATACTTAAACGGTATTAAATACTGCTTCTGAAGAGCCCTAAAGAACTTTGAGTGACTGCTATTTCTGATCCTTGTAAAGCTTCAGATTATAATCTTCTGAAATCCTTGTCATCTGTTTTTAGTGGCTTGTTTTCTTATCCTTTAGTAGTATAGTTTTCTGTTCTTTCATGACACAGGTAAAACAGGTGAAAATATGGTAAGACTAACAAGGCAATACAAATTTAAGTGGATTGCTATGACTCATGAATATTTGGGCACCAGGACGGATGGTTTTTTCCTCCTTCAATCTTAAATGGATGATGCTGCCTAAGCATGACCCCAGGATACGTGTTCAATGCACTGTACTCCTGAACACTCAAACACAAAAGTACAATTCCTGAGCAAATCTCTATGAAACATTCAAAATTCCTCTTATGAGTAACAAAAGCAAAGAGCATAAGAGCAATTATTATGACTATGTATACATCTATAATTCATCGTTTTAGGTATTTGTTCAGATATGGGGAAATGTAAGCAAATCTGGGGCTACTCTGGTCAGGAAAGAATATAACAAAGGTAAGGAATAGTCTCCTTTTTGACCAACATATATTATTTATTGCATACTCTTTGCTCTGAGGTGGGTTGGCCCATTTCCAAAGGAAACCTGTGATTTTATTCAGTAGCTCTTTAAATTTCAAATTGAAAGGAAGTAGCTGTATATTCTGATGACAATTTGGAGTCTATATTTTATTTACTTGGGTTTCAATAAAATAAATACCAAGTTTAAGGAACTAAAGGTTTAGATACTGCTCTTTGTTGTCCTGTAGTGTTGGGGATTAAACCCAGGGCCTTGCACACGGTAGGATGCTGCTCTTCTGAAGAAGCATGATTAACTTGAAGAAAAATCACTGAGTACAGGTTTTGAGACTTTAAAGGATGTGGTAAGTCAGAAAACCTACTTGAAGTATCACTCTTAATCAAAGCTTATACTTGCTCCATTTTTGTCTAAAACCACATCATTATGAAAATTAAATGAATACATGGAAAGTGTTTAGAATGGTGTCTGGTTCATACAAATGTAATCATCTTTGTGAGAATTAAAATTCAATATAGCTCTTCTCTATAAATCTGTTACCTAGATAGTGAGATAAAAAACGATCTTGAAAACATAACTAGATTAACCTATACTGGAATGTGTAACAAATATTTCCATATTTTCTGATCTAGAAAGAATTCTCATTTCAGATTTTTACACGCCCATAAATAAATATTCTCCTGGTAGCAGTTCTTAAAATACACAATTAGAATAAGAACAGTGTGTCAAAACCTACATGTTATTTTAAACAAATCTCAATCCAAGGAAAGGTACACCCTTTGCGGTTTTCCTTAATTGTAGGGGCTCACTGCTGCCCTCTGGAGTATTTTCGATTCTTGCAAGTTGCTTTCCATCCCAATCACACCTACAAATCTGACCTAGATTCCCATCTCCACAGGTTACCTGACTCACTTGTGTGTGCATAGGGAAGAAAAGAGAGCCCTCCTTCAAAAGAAAGCAAGGAACTAAAACAAGATGTTTCCACACTTCCACTTGAGAGCCTTCTCACGGGTCCAGCAACAGAACCCAATCTTCCAGGGAAAGTTCCTTCCTGGCATCCCCACAGCTTTTGTATTTCAGGTCTTTATCTACTTTTTAAAAATTGAAATAAATTAATAAACATGGTGGAGGAGGGGAAACGGGTAGGAGGAGATAAATGGGCAACCAGTAAAAAGGGTGATCAATAAAAACATCTGGCCTCCATTCAAACCTCTCGACAGCTGGGTGCATCCGCATTGAACTTGTACATATCCTACTATTACATATGTGAGACCTAACTATTTTAAAGTTTGACTCTATTTTAAATTGGTGGTCTTTGGGGACTTCGCGATCTGGGCACAACACATACACACTCAACGATCATTTCTTTTTTAACATAAATGCAAGTATGCTTTGCTTATCTTCAAGAGTATTAACTTGGAGACTGTTCCCCATTAGGTGAGATTTACCTAATCAACTTAATTAACAATTAGCAACACATAGATTTTTAAATCAATCTCTGCTCCAATAATTTCGGCTACAATTCAGTTTTCTCTTGCTTCTAAGGCTTTTATTATATCGAGCAGAGGTTCTCTAATTTGAGAGGACAAGACTGCTAAACCCACCCCCAGGGTTTCTGGATCCAGTAGGTCTGGGATCAGACTTAATCTGCCTTTCCACTAAATTTCCAGGTGACGCCAATGGGGCAGATTCGGGGCCTGCACTTTGAAGTCCATTAGGATAAAGGCTGCATCAAATCTTGTTCCTTCACAACAGGACATGGTATCACCTCCCTGGCGACCTCATAAAAAGTCCCACAGGACCCAAGCCTAGAGAACTACCCATTAGCTCCCGGTTCCAAGCCAGAACTGAGGGCCTATATTACGTCGCCGGCGCAGCACAACGACGCCATTTCCTCCCTGTTTGGCCCCGCCCACTTCGCGCTCCCGACGCACAGAACGCAGAGGGTGTCGTGAATCACGTGACCCGAGAAACATCTCGCGATGGTTCATGTCTCTCGCGATACTTCGCCTGCCTTGTCTTTTCCTCCTTCCGTCGCCCGGCTTTCCTTCCCTCCCCCTCACTGCCGACGGAGTTCTTCATTTTCGGACGGAATCGCCTCGTCGCGGAGATTTTTTTTTTTTCCTCTGCTGTTGCTCCTTCTGCTACCGCCGCCGCCAGTGGGCTCCTTTTCCTCGACCCCTTCCCGCCGCCCCATCCCTAGTCCCACACAAGGTAACAGCTCGGCGAGGGAGGGTCAGGCCTCGCCGGGCCTTGGTCGCTCCCGGGTGGAAGCGGAGGCCCGAGGCCGGGGAGCCAGCCTCGCAGGAAGGTCTGGGCGCGGGCGCTGGGTCAGAGGCCCCGGCTCCTCTACCGCCCAGAGCCGGCCCTCGAGCGGCCCCGGGCAGCCGCGGCGGAGGCGGCCCTCCTGGAGCAGCCGTCGGGGTCGGGATCGGGGTGGGGGTCGGGCCCCGCGCGTGTCCGGAAGGGGACGTTTGAGTGATTAGGTCCGAAGTACTCGGCAAAGTTGTGTTGGGCTTTGAGGTGCTGGGTGGTGGGAGGAGAGGAGCTTGGTTTGCTTTAACCCTGGTCTTTCCAGACTCCAAGCTCTCTGGACTGGAATTTTGAGAAGACCCTAGGAAGCCTCGTATGTTTGCTTACGAATTAATCAAGAAAGCGTTAATGCGCAGCTGATTTTCAGGATTATGAGCGGCATTTGGCGAAAGGCACGTTTCTTAGGATGCTTACATGCCGAGAGTATTTTGTAGCGTTGCTTAAAATATATCAATAACTGCGTATTTAGCGACAGGATGGAAGATTTCTGTTTAGGAGAGCTACGTACACTCATGGTTGAATAATAGTTCAAGTGAGAAATGATATTTGTGTAGTTAACTAGAAACCATTTTTATTTCGCTTTGGACATATTCTGTCATGCCTAAAAATAAGTATGTTTTCCGAAGTTTTGAGACTTCTAGCAGACTAGTGCTTTTTAAATGTGATAAACTGTGATCATTGAGCCAGTCTTTAAATGAATTAAAACTAGAAATTTTCCTTTACATCTTACGCATTTTCTACCTTTTTATATTGAATTTATCAAACAGTTGTGATCTGCAGAATCTGTTACCTTGAAATTTGTAGTTTAGCTCAAGTCTGAAGTAAAAGTAAAAATAATGGTAAATTAAGCTGCAGTGTTAATAAAGTGGGGGCACAACTTGTTAATTTAGGCAGGTTGGGAAAATAATGTTTATGGTTTGATATTCGGCTTTATTTTCATAGTCTTACCCTTTATATTGTCTCCAGATGTCAGAGGACCTAGCAAAGCAGCTGGCAAGCTACAAAGCTCAACTCCAGCAAGTAGAAGCTGCATTATCTGGAAATGGAGAAAACGAAGATTTGCTAAAATTGAAGAAAGATTTGCAAGTAAGTATGGGTGGACAGTTGTATGTAACATTGCCTAAAAAGAATTGTATTTTTTAAATGATTTATTGTTTGGAATCCTTAGGTACTCAAAACACCCTTGTAGGAGGGTGGGGTGCCCCCCATGTGTGTAGAGAGACCCTGAGGCTTGTAGAGAAAGCTGCTTCCCCAGTTTGTATACAGCAAAATGAATGAAGCATTGTAGCTGTGAAAACCTTGTGTGCTTGTGGGGTTTTTAAAAAATGAGTTTATTTTCAAAATTTCAAGAGAAGCAACTTTACAATGGAACAAGCTTTTATTTTTCAAGAGTTGGCAAAGGAAATTAAGTTCAAGATTCAAGGAGAAAAATATAACCTAATTAAGATTCCTTTTTAATGACACAGAATTCTTTGGAGATGAAATATGTGGCTTTTCTGTTCAAAGCTAGTGGGTTACACCATGTTATTAAAAATACAAAACAAAACTAAAGAGAAACATGTTTTCTATATTAATGTTATATAGTTATTTGAATTTAAGACTAAGTTTTACAGTGCAAATGTTGGTCCTTGGTGAAGTTGAATTGATGTGGTCAAAATGAGATCTTGTTTGTCATGGGAGATTTGAGTAAGTATAAAACTTTTATACTGCACTGGGGTTTCAAGAAAATGTAAAGCCATGATAAGTATCTGTTGTTTTCAGGACACCGAGTTAAGAATAACACCGTATATAATTTATGAATACTACATGTATATGATTTTTCATCTTGAGAACTTAAAATTCTGAACCAGATTTTTAAGTTTCCAGGATGTTTTTATTAGATGATGTCTCTCTACTGACTGCATCTTATCCAAATAATCTTTCCCTTTATCATCTTGTTGCCCATTAAAACTGTTATATTTTAGAGCTATTACAACTGCAAACAAATGAGACTTAAATGAGGTCTATAAGTGGGATTCTGAAAGAGCCTATCAGGGCATAATTAAAAATGAGTATTTTCAAATTCTAGATTTAAGATAAATTTGCGATAGTATGTTATTATTTTTTAAAGCTCTGAGAATTTGAACAGAATCCCTCTTTCCATATGTAGAAGCCAGGCCCATGGATTTCAATGTGCCGGTCAATAAGAGAAGGGTATTTTGAGGACAGATTTCCCCGTCTGAGTCCTTTTGTAAAGATTGCCTAGCGGCTTACTCCCTCTTTATACATTTGCGCTGCTCACATGTTCTGTGAATATGCACCAAAGACGAGGTAACAAAGCAAACTGGCTCCAGAGGACCGGCTTTCTTCTTGCCTCAGAGAGTTATCAAGTTAAAAGCAATCCTTTTTTTTTTTTGAAGAAAACATTGTATCCCAATGTTTTATACCATATATTGCTTCCTTGGTAGTGGGAGGAAGAGGTATATGGAACTGGTGAAGGGGTAGTTGAGAATGGAGTTTGAAATAACATTATTATGAATAAGGTATCTTTAATATTTCTAGAATAAATTGTCTTTAAAATCAGGGTACAAATGTCTTAATATGATCTGTAGTGGAAAATGTTGCAGGGAGAAACTATTGTGGTAGACAGTATAATAGTACCTAAAGGTGCTAGGTCAATTAGTGACCACAGAGTCATTTATAAATAAATATCCTCTTTAACCATTTAGAACAACACTGTCCAATGGAACGTTCTGTAATGGTGGAAGTGTTCTTTTCTGCTGTTCAATACCACAGCCACTAACCGTATGTGGCTATTTGAAGTATAGCTAGGATGAGTGAGGAGCTGACTTTTTAATTTTATTGAATTAAAGAGCTGCATGTGAGTACATATTAGGATACAGACTCATAAAGCTTAAGTTCTAATATGTCAGATAGTGATAATACAGAATACTTGAACTGACCAGTCTTGAAGTCTCTTATTCCATCATGAGAAAAATTTCATTTTGGTTACTAGGTAAAGGTGTGTGTTTTTGTTTTTGTTTTTTTGGTACCAGAGATTGAACTCAGGACCTTGCGCTTGCGAGGCAGGTGGCCAAACCACTGAGCTAAATCCCTGGCCCTATGCCCTGGATATAGGTGTGTTTTGAACTGAAAACTGCAAAGATGGAAAGCATTTTTTTAATATTAGATGAAATTCTGAAAAGCATTTGGGTATATGATTCCACCTAGTCATTGTCTCTGTTGAGACTACAGTTACAGATTCTGTTTTGCTTTGTGTCCCTGGCTTCCTGTCTTTTCTTTCTGGGATGTATCTTGTGCCCTTGGCATTTAATTCTGCCTGTTACTTTTGGTAAAAGTCTGTTCAGACTGCCTATTAAGTTTCTGGCTTCCTTATTTCATATTTTTGGGCCACCATATGGTTTATTTCTTGTGTTCGTCTTATGGAACTGTGTCCTTATCCTGGTTATTAATATTTGCCCTTTGATTATAACATAATGTCCTGCGTTTTTTTCCTATGGCTTCTGTTTTTCCAGTAAGGTTTCTATGTCTTTGCGCTTTTGTGTACTGTTTTTCACATAGAGTAAAATTACTCAGGAGGCAGCATATTCATCTAATGAAACCCCAACTGCCTTTTTCTTTTTTTCCCCACTTAAAAGAAATAGTAGGGGTAGTAAAATCCAGGCTAGCTAACTGATTAGCATCCCAGGCAGTCTGTGATAATAATTTAAAAAAAGGGTCAATTTATTAGGCTGTTTTGCTGAATAATCTGGTTCTAAAGGAGGCAGGGGTCAAGTCACTTGTCTCATATATTACAGTGGCTCTCTGCATCCCCGAAACGCCTTCCTTCAGTAAGCAGAGTGCTTGAGTGCACCCCCTTTGACCTGCTGCTATGTAGATCACAACACCTACCTGATGCTTCCTGGAATTGCCGGTTACTGTAACTGCTGCCCATCTGTCAGTGAAGGAGCAGTTTCAGAACTCAGACTTGGGGGAGGAAAAGTAATTAATGGTATGTACCTTTAAGAACCCCCTCATACGTAAAATAGCTTTTCTGATATTTTGCTCCATATGCACATGTAAAGAAAAAAAATTACAGGGTTCTTCACAGTTTTGCTGGGAGGGATATGTAAAGCCAGGGCAGAGTTACAGGACATTAGCAGTAATGCTCTGGATTTCGTTTATAAAAAGGGTCATTTCAGCACAGGGCTCTGAAAATTCTTTATAATATGCATAACTGTTCAGGATCCTTTTCTTGGGTGAAAATATATTCTTTTATGAGGATAGTAGGAAAATGTCCTGTCTTAAAAGAAAAGGAGTTCTAAATCTGACACTGTAATTCCAGAATTTGTGTGTGTGCTTCATTAGTTAAATGATCCTTAGGAGGCTGTGGACGTGTTTAATGATGGGATTTTGTGGGCTCTTGAGTCAGGCTTACTGGATTACCCTCCCAGTCTAAAAGCAGTGGATAAAAGCAGAGCCAGGCAGTGTCCCCTGTGTGCCACATCGCTGGAACTGCTTTGCTTTGTCAGCGCAGTGCTGTCCAATTGGCGAGTATTGGAGGGCGGGGGACTGGAAGAGTGCTTGCCCAGCTTGCACAGGCATCCCTGACTGCAGCACTTCACAGCGGTCAGGGCTCGCCCTTAGGGCTGCAGAAAGAAATTGCATGGCTGCTTGGCAACTTGCAAAGTTTGCAGATGTCACTCTCCTGAATTTTTTAACTCAAATCTGAGTCTTCCATGAAGCTGACTGACTTCTCTAATGGCTTAATATTCCTTTTTTTTTAAGCCCCAAATATTAGTTTTTTCATAAGTAGCCAGGAGATTTCATAAGTACCTTCAGGAGAGAGGTAATATTTAACTTTCTTGGCTACTGAACCAGAACTACTAATATGAAACCTCAGTGGGAGCCAAAAGAAACTGAGTTTAACTTTGCCAGTTTTTTCCCCATACACACAGTAGGTTTTAAAATTCAGCAGTGTGGGGGGGATACGCAAGTTCTTAAATCAGATAGGATATAAATAGTATAGCTTTTCAGTAGAGTAAAAATACAGCAAATAGGTATCAGAATATTATCAATTTTTACTGCTTTACAGGTTTTTAAACTGACCCTAACACTTGAATGCAACACATAAATATAAGCCTTAGAAATAATATTTGCCACACAGAGAGGCATTGCCTCCCTGTGTGTTACTTTTGTTTTATTATTTTTTCCTTTTAAATGAAGCTGTGCTAATGTGCTTAATGAATATTAAGGAATAGACTATTTTAAGTCTAACAATAATTTGCTTACTTATTCCAGCAAGGTTTATAATACATGAGTAGGAAGACTACTGGTTTCTTTTATATTTGCCTATAGTATTTTAGAGATGTGTAAGTAGGAACATTTTGCTTACTAATAAGGGTACTTAAAGTGTTTGGGGATTTGTGGAGAGGATGTTGGCTGGAAAATTAATACTATGGCTAAATAATGCCCTGTAAAACAGTACAGCTGCATGAAATATACATGGCATTTAAAAAGAGACCTTGAATCTAATTCAATCCCTCCATATTTTCTCATCTTTAGAGAAAATAGGAACTTAGAAGTAATGCATGATATAAGCTTAAGTCCACTTTATTTCCATTAGTATTTTTGGTTGAGGATATCTGTATAGGCTTAAATTACAGCTCCATTGCTTACTAGTATAAAATATTGTCTCTCAGTTTCTACATGGGGATAATCATAGAACTCTCCTAATAGTGTTATGAACTACACATAAAGAGTACTTAATAAGTGGTATGTGGTGTAAGAGCTGTCATCAGTCAAAAATTAAAATAGTTGACAATGTGAATTTTTAAAATGTTGTGGTTTTTGTTGTTCTCTTTTAGGAAGTTATAGAACTAACCAAAGATCTTCTGTCAACTCAGCCTTCAGAAACTCTTACAAGTTCAGACAGTTTTGCTTCTACTCAGCCCACTCATTCATGGAAAGTAGGAGACAAGTGTATGGCAGTCTGGAGTGAAGATGGACAGTAAGTGTAGAAAAAAAACCCCTAACTATAACATGAAATAATAAAATACAATGGTAAGATGTTTTTATTCAGTTTGAACTACCCTATTTTAATCTTTCTCTGTAGGTGTGTAATTCCTAACAGCCAGTTTAATTGTTGGGTGGTTACAATTAATATAGTTTAGTTTTAGTTTTAGAATGTAAGACTGGTGGAGAAAATGACTAGGACTCTGGAGTCGGGGGAAATGCGTGTACAGTGGTACCTCAGTTCACAAACTTTATTTGTCCCACAATTCTAGAAAAGATGGCCAGTTTGTGTTTGTCACCCGATGGAGAGTTTGCAAACAAGAACAAAATTTTGTCAGACACTTTAGTTTGCAAACCAAATTATTCACAAACAAAAGTGTTCAGGAACTGAGGTGCCACTGTATTTTCTAAATTCTTTTCATGTTAAAAATTTAGTAAATTGTTGATTTTCTGAGATTTCTGTAAAGTACATACACTAAAATCATTCCTGTAAGAAATACCATTTCTCAAAAAGATTAAGGCACGTTGAATAGATACAAGTACAAGACTTTGTATTGGCAGTATTTTGATGAGGGCTTTTTTATAGCAGATGTCTAACTTCAACCACTCTTTTGTATTATTTTTGCCAAAAGAACCATTGAAAAAGTTTCATTTTAGACACATGTAATAATTGAGTCACTGCAGTGTAAGTCTTGTAGGCTGAGTACTAAATCTTTACTCACCTGCTTACAGCCATGATATCTTTACAGGTGTTACGAAGCGGAGATTGAGGAGATAGACGAAGAAAACGGCACGGCTGCGATCACCTTTGCTGGTTATGGCAATGCTGAAGTGACTCCCCTGTTGAACCTCAAGCCTGTGGAAGAAGGAAGGAAGGCAAAGGAGGACAGTGGCAGCAAACCAATGTCAAAGTGAGTGGTTTTGACCTTCACATTTAGGTGTTCTCCATTTGGTAGAAGGTAGTTGCAGAGAATCTTTGTAAGCAAGATTCGGGTGAGGAAGCTATAGTACTAGTCACCATTGCTCAGAAGCTTAGCGACACAGGATCAGCATGGTCTGTGTATGTGTACTTAGGTAAAATGAAGATGTCTCGGTTCCCGTGTAGACATTCAGTAACTATGACATACTATATACTAAGAATATCTTCCACCATATTTTATAAGCCAGGTACTGGGACTTCACCACAGTAAAGACCAACTTAAGCCTTTTCCCTACTGAAGGAAATATCCAGAGAGGAGAACACATAATTAAAGAAAGGCTTTAATAATAGTGGGGTGTGGTGGCATATGCCTGTAATCCCAGCACTTTAGGAGTTTAAGGCAAGATTTTAACAAGTTTGAGCCCAGCTTGGGAAACTTAGCAGTTTAGTGAAACCTTGTCTGTAAATAAAAAAGGGCTGGGGATATGCAGCTCAGTGCAAAGGCCCTGGGTTCAATGCTCAATGCCACCTCTCATATCCCCCCAAGACACCTTAAAAATAAAGTAGATGTTATGGAGGTACATAACTGGTACTTAATGGGAACAAAGAAGAGGTTCTAAACTGCAGTTATCAGGGCAGTTTCCTTGGGGAAATGACATCTAAACTGAGATTTCAAAAAGAATAGAAGTTAGCAAAGTAAAAAAAACTAGAAGTTACTGACTATATCTTGAGCTAAAGCTTTTTTAATGTGTGCTATTACCTTGGGCAAACCACTTACCTTCTCTTTCCTTGTCTGTAAAACGAGCAGTAGTTATCTATATTATTGGGTTTGGGGATTAAATGGTAGCATTAATAAAGCTTAGAGCACCATTTACATGTAGTAATGGCTCAGGATGAGGGCATAGAGGTAACAAAGAATTTCCTTTGGTAGAAACTTGGCCTAGAAGACAGTGGCTTCACAGAAGGTTTGCTAGGTAGAAGCCAGATCATAAAGCCCTTTTTGAGGTAGAGCAGATGTGATGTGATACAGTTTTAGTTTAAGAATGATCAGTGTCCGTCAAAGTCAGCTACTGCTGTGAGGTATGTGATGATGATGGCCTGAATCCAAGGAATGGAAGTGGGAATGGAGTGTACAGCTTTTGGATAACATGAACATCTTCGATAAGAATACTGTAAAACAGTCTGTAATCTCTGGGGTTAGACGTTTGACTTCTATGTAAAAAGCCGTACTTAGCTTTGTGGTGGTGATTACAGTATATGGTACAGGGTGACCTCGACTTTATTGCTTAATAGTCACTGAGCAGAGATTATGGTGGTCTTAGACTCTGATCCTGTTTATAGTCCTGTTAGAATTTTTTGGAAACCCTAGGTTTTGTTTTGATGCTTGTTTTTGTAATGCTGAAATTGAACCAGAGCCTTGCACATGCTAGGCAAGCAGTTTACCCCTGAACTACATCCCCCTTTTTTAAAATTGCATTTTGAGACAGAGTCCTACTAAGGTGCTTGTCCTGGTTTCAAACCTGAGATTCTCATGCGTCAGCCTCCTAGGATCACATGGGCAGGCACTGCCACCCCTGGTTTAACCTTTGGGGTTTTTTTTCTTTTGTTAGTTACTGGTTTTAAGATTGGTTAACTGTGATATTTTTTGTGCATGTGTGCTGTAGTGTTCGTCCAGTTGAGGTGGCATGTTTTACTGCACTGAGTCTCTTCAAATGCTGCAGTTATTCTTAACTGTCTGTTTGAAAATGAATAAAGGGTTAGCCGGCCATGAACCACTTACCAGTCCAATTATTTAAATACAGCATGACCAAAAATTGCATTTTTAAAATTAATTTTTATAAGATAATATAACAGAAAGATAAAAATGACAATTATATCAATACAAGAATCGACTAGCCGTAATGCCCACCTTCCTGAGTGACGCTCGGTGTACTCAGTACATAAACACGCTGCCCGGTGATGCGCGGGGTAAACTGTTCAGGGGCTGACGTTGAAATTCAGCTTCTAAAACACAGCTCGCTAGTAAGTCAGAAAAAGGTCAAATAAGTCACAGGTGAAAATTTTGATTTATGTAATAATGTTTGAAAGCTTCCAATGATATCCTTTTTTAAAAAAAACATTTCTTAGTGCTAGGTTTTGGCATTGATTTTAATGAGTTAAGGTTTTTATTTGTGGAGAGAAGTATAAGTTTATTGGACTTTTTTTTCTGCATTGCTAAGGTCTACAAAGAAGTCATCTTTTAAATCTTTTTTTTTTTTGGTACTGGGGATCGAACTCAGGACTTTGTGCTTGCAAGGCAAGTGGCAGAACCACTGAGCTAAATCCTCAGCCCATCATCTTTTAAGTCTTAAGAGTTGACATTTAGCTCTATTTTTCACACACACAGAAAAGAAATGATTGCCCAGCAGCGTGAATATAAAAAGAAGAAAGCTTTGAAAAAAGCACAAAGAATAAAGGAACTTGAGCAGGAAAGAGAAGACCAGAAAGTGAAATGGCAGCAGTTCAACAACAGAGCCTATTCTAAAAACAAAAAGGGCCAGGTTGGTAAATCTTCAGCACACTTTACACCTGAAAAATACAACTGCCATTAAAATAATTTTATAATTAAAATTATTTAGTTATAATTTAAAAGATAGATTTTCAAAACTGTGTGAATAACCAGTTCTTGAATCAGTCCTCAGCTGTACTCACTTCGGCAGGACATATACTAAAATTGAATCAGCCCTCAGTTTGGCTTTTTGAAAGAATCTTTATTAGCCATTGTCTCTGCAGACATTACAAATTTGTGTTTCTATTAGGAATTATAGAAATTTGAAAAATTATTTGCTACCTTATAGACCACTTAGAGGCAATTTATTGAACTCTTTTGGCTTAGTTCACGTGCCTTTATAAGCATCACTAGTAGATTTATTTATTTATTTTTGATACCAGGGATCGAACTTAGGGCCTTGCGCTTTGGAGGCAGGCAGCAGCACCACTGAGCTAAATCTCTGGCCCTACTAGTAGACTTTATTTAAAAGAGCTTCCAGGTTCCCTTAATAAACTTCTCTGAGTATTGGGTAGAAAATAACCATAGCATTCATAGAAGTTAAAAATAGGGTAACCTGGCTTTCACCCTTATCTTACTTTTCTATCAGGCTGACTCTTGCACTGGTGGGCATGGAAAGCAGTGCTTCCCTTTCATGACCATAATTATTTTATGACTTGAATGTCAAGGCTCTTCGCAATTAAGACATCTCAACAGGCTCACCATAAACTTGAATACAACCAGAGTTATAGTTGTGCCAAAATAGTTAGCTCACAGCATAAATTATGATTCAAGATTACAAAACTAAAATGTTGAGACCTTTAAAAAGTGAATGTTACGAGTTTTAATAATATGTAGTGATATTTTCTTTCCATAACTTTTAACTAAATGGCTTCTTCCAGCACCAGACTATTTCACTACTCATTTTTGACCCTAAGCAAACAAAACAATGCTTTTTTTTTTTTTTTTTTTAATACTGAGACTAGAATGTAGTATAACACTAAGTTTGGGGAAAATTTTTTTTTCTAACACTAATTAGGAATGGTTTGATGGTTTGTTTTCTTTCCCCTAGGTGAAGAGGAGTATTTTTGCTTCACCTGAGAGTGTAACTGGCAAAGTTGGAGTAGGAACTTGTGGAATTGCTGATAAACCTATGACACAGTATCAAGATACTTCTAAATACAATGTCAGGCATTTGATGCCTCAATAATCAAAAAAACTGTTGGATTTCATCTCTGCAGGGCTTTACATTTACCTTTTTATCCTTATATTTTTCTAAAGGTAAATTATTTGATAGGTGAGTAAGGAAGATACCATTGTTGTCATTGTTTGACTTTAATAGAGTGAAACTTGAAGAAATTGCATTTGATAAACTGTTATTCATTTAACTTTTCATTGCTACTACCATAGTTCCCTCAGAGTTTATTGAATAAGGCAACTTTTCTAGATAGAAGCTGCTTCATTCGGCACTTTGATGAATTGTTGATATACTAATACCAAGTCCCACGTGCAGTCGTAACTTGGAGTTTGACACACAATTCATTGGAACATGAAGGCAAAACACCAGCCACCTGCTAGAGATCTTTTTTCTTTTTTTCAACTTTAAAACCGAGCTATTGTCAAGATAAGTCTAAAGGTAGGTTACTTTATAATGGCAAAGTTTATTTTGAGATTTTTCCTTCAGTAACTTGTTTTCTAAGCCAATTAGGCCATCTCTAAAGTTGATCCAGCTTTTATTTTTATTCATTTAGTTTTATGCAGAAAAACATGTTTAGGATGAGCTACCTTTTTTAAGGTGTTTCTGTTTGATGTTTTGTGGATTTGTTTTTGTTTGCTTTTTCCTTTTTCACTTAATGGTAGTGGTACTGTTTTTTTGGACGTGTAATGTTTATATGGGAAAACAAAAAGTGATGTATAGCCCTGTATACAGTGTAGATACTATTTTTGTAAAAAACCAAGGGTAAATTAATGAACAAGAGTACTGAATGTTTCATCATTAAAAATTTCTTGTATTTCTTGTGCATTAATCTGACCATAATTTCCCTGTATATTATGTTCATGTACCTGAGTTTGTAATTTTAATTAACTAGATCAAGTTGCCAGCATTTGTTGGTGTGAGCATCACAGTTATCCGAAGTTAAGTTTAAGCCAAATACATGCATAGAAAAGGGTCTTCCTATTAATGGAAGATGATTTTTAGGATGTGTGTTAATTTCAGTTTGTATGTTTAACTTTTATTAAATAAAGTGTTTTTAAAATCTCCAGGGTGTGTTACAAAAGGGCGTAGTCTTTAGCTGCCAGCTGTGGTATAGTAAGCCTTGAACTTGCACACAATTACAGTGAAAGAGTATTGTGTGATAAAGGTTTCAATAAATCCTTAAGTATTCCTTCCATTAAATACAAAAAATCAGATCTCAGACCAACTAGTCATTTTAAGTCTCTGCTGTGTATTGGAGTTTTTGTAAATTTTTGCTGGAAAAGGAAATTTTTTAATTTTACAAATTTTAAATTTATTTTATTTATTTATTTATTTTGTAAATTGAAACTTTAGGACAGTGTTAAAAGGTAGAATTCTTTCTCTCCCTTTGCCTTTCTCCTCCAAGCCTAGGAGGTCACAATTTTCCTTCCTAAACGCGTAGAACAGAGATTATAACAGAAAAAGGGCTACCTAAAGCCTGAAATTTTTTAATAAAAACTTTGAAATATACTTATATTTATCTCCTAACTATTGTAATAGCATCAGCCTTGAAGGGTTGTAAGAGAACCCTTTGAATGAAAACATGAGCAAGTTTAGTGTAATTGTACAGAAAATGGTTTGTTTTTTGGTTTTTTGTTTTTTGGGTTTTTTTTCAAACTCTTGTCCTTGCACTTGCAGGGCAGGCGGCAGAACCACTGAGCTAAATCCCCAGCCCCAGAAAATTGTTTTTAGTCAGTTGCCTTAGTATGTTAGGAGGATAGTAGTTTACCTGGTGTATGAATAGGAAAAACTGCTGTAACCAAGACTTAGCCTTCCTTTGACTCTGTGGGCCCTTTTCTGCATGTTAATTTTACTGGAGGCCTTTGTAGTAGGAGAGAGAAATGAAATAAAAGTGACCATATCATAGAAAACATATATTTTGAAAATCAGAAGCAAGCATAGCATAAGATCAGGAGCCCTTGTGTCAGAAATGTAGATGTGACCTTTTGGAAAGCAAGTGTCAGGATGACGTCTCTGGATTAACTGAAAGTTAGGATGGAGGATATAGTACTTGTTACAGTTTGATGCTGAAGTTGAGATGCTTAATGAAAAGCATAATACCAGTAGTAGTTTACTGGTTATGGTGGTTATGCTCTCCATATTCTAAAAATTAATTAGGAACTCTGGCCTTAACAAAGCTTTGTGAAAAAATTTAGTGTAGTTTCCCCTGTCAAGAAAGATGACTTAAAATTCTGAAACTGACAGACTGAAATGTAAAATATTGATTCATGACTCCTAAATACAGTGGTTTCATGTATCTCCTCAAAGCTTAGCATTCTTTTGTTATTCACTGTTTCAAGGAATAAACAGTTCTAAGCCCAAGAATAGTGACCAGAAATCTAATAGCATCACAGATAACAAATGCTATTCTGGTTAGCATGTAGAGAGACCAACAGAGCATACTGGAAGACCAAGGATTCTAAAACCAGAATGCTGTTTGAATCCTGGCCCCCCATTTATTAGCTAATGTGTATGAGTCCTCCACCTCATTTTCCTGTACTATAGAATGAAAATAATAGCTCTTTCTCTAGGTTTTAAGGGGAAGTTAATATTTGTAAGGAGCTACAATAGCTGGCATATGATAGGCAACATAGGAGCAGCTGACATTTATTCGGAAGTGGCAGTGGTGAATACATGATCTTTTTTCCTTAAACAGCTGACATTCTTCATGGATAAGAAAACCCACTGCTTGTGATTTGAGGCCCCCAATTACAACTTACTGAAATGTTAACAAATTACCAAGCAAAACATAAGTCCTAGTAAGGTTTTAAATTAACTTTCACACTAGTGCATATTTCTTAATGGGAAGAGAGTAAAGGTTATAATAAAAATCACCCCTGGTGCTCATAAAATTAAACAGGGACTTCTGGGTCTAGTTCCTATTCCAGACTTATTTATCCAAGCCAGGGTGTCTTTGACAAACACCATAAACAATTCTTTATGCATCCTTGGCTGAGAACCATGTTTTAGGTTAAATGTAAAAGGCTTTTGATATTTGGAATGAAAAATACCTTTAGTGGCAGTTTTTTTAGCCTAATTATAAAAACAGGCCATTAAACTAATTTCATCAGTTAAAACTTAATTCATTTTTAATGTTTTTGTCATAGTGAAGGATTGTGTGTCTGTATTTTTGGTATGTGATTTTAGTGTTGGGTGTGTCTGCCTTGAAAAAGCAAAGGAAACGTCCGGTCCTGTAAAGAAAGTTTATTTTGGAGGTACCCATGTGTGTCAGTAAGTTATAATTTTATAATTTAAACTACACCTTTTTACAAGGTGAAAAATACCAGTTGTAAACTCAGCCAAAAATAATGGTTACTTAATTTGGCTTTTTGCCTAATTTGGACGTTGAAATATGGAAGGAAGAAAATCTTAAACTAACCAGGTTTTGTATTCGTTAGAATCTTAAAAGGGTTCAATAAATACGTGAACTGTATTGTTTATATTATACTATGAAGCAGATAGTACAAATAATTTATAAATTCAACAGTAAATGTCAACATTCTTTGTATCTAGGATTTTTGAGTTGCAAGTTAAACTGAATTTTTACTGCACTGGAGATGAAGAGCATAGCAGGCAAAGTAACAGGTAATTTTGTAGTTTCAACAAAAAGACCCAAGTAATTGAATCCCTTTATCCTATCATTTTTAAAAACTTACATTTCGGTATAGATATATTTTTATGAGGTTCAGAAACCAGTAGATGGGACCTTCTAAGAGTTTGTCTTGGTATATCCAAAAAAGCAGTAAAAGAAGACATATGATGGTGTTACATTTGTAAGGTTTTTCAATTGCATTCTCTGCCTTTTCAGCTAATGTATATAAAGGTGGTTCTTTTGTGGCCTTGAATGGGAAGGATAAAGTAGACCTGAGAATTAACAGTACATAGTTGATAGCTGAAGTAGCTAAAACTACCAGATTTTAGATAATTATCTCTCAGTTCTCAGGCAGTAAAAACTGGCAGTTAACTTCTACCATATTCCTTTCCAGTTCATTTTATGAGCCCAGGGTAGACTTCGGTCACTAGAATTATTTAAATTGTAATGTTTCCCCAGTTGCGGTATTAGTTCAGGTAAAGGACCCATGGTTATACTGTTGAAAGGAAAGGTTGGGTTGGCTTTGTTTGAGGAGACACTGTCAGTTTGGGACCCAAAATCATGGTTTTTATTTTGCTGGCTCATTTCCCCTTTCCTGGTAAAACTGATGAACTTTTATTTTTTTCCCTTTCAAGCCCTGTACTTATCTTAGCAAGATGCAGTGAATTTCTGACCCCAGAAACAGGCTTGGTGCAAACACTTGACTCCATATCGTGGGAAAACTTGAGTCGAAGCCTGAGCTCTGCAGCTAGGCTAGTCTTTAATAGATGGTAATTACCAGTTGCTCATTGCTCAGAAGTGGCAGGAAGGAGTAAGTATCCCTTCAGTTCTTCTGCCTGGAGTTTTCCCTCCATGAGTGCTGTCAGGTATAGGTGATCTAGCTTTCAGTTAAGTGTGACGAAGGTACTGACCTCTTAAATTTACACAGTATTCTCTTGGTACACATTTTAGTAATGTTGCATGGCTTTCGTTACATCTTTACAGTACTATTCTTTGCCCTGGTGTGAACATCTAAAATACCCCAGTTATCGCCCTAACAATAAAGACTGTTTTCCCTGTTGCAAAGAGCTATCAAGAAAATAGAAATAATCCCCCAAATCACAGTAAGTGGGTTGGCAGTATTTTAATAGTGTTTCACTTGGGCTGTTTTTCATAATTTGTAACTTGGAAGAAAGGCAAAACAAGGGCCGGGGATGTAGCTCAGTGGCGTCACTCCTGCCTGGCAAACACAAGGCCCGGAGTTCGAGTCCCAGTTCCAGAAAGAAAAGAAGGGCAAAACAATGAAGTGAAATCGTCAGTATGTGCCTTTGAATTACACTAAAAGAATTAGACAGTCTGCAACAAAAGTTTCTTGTTCTAGTGCATGGGGGCAAGAAGATAGCTGTTTATTTGCTTTTCTAGGCAAGGTCAGCATTAAATATTAAATATTAAGCAGGGCTTTCAGATACCTATAGCAGTCAAGACCCTATCTCAAAAAAAATTTTTAAAGGGGGCCAGGGATTTAGCTCAGTGGCACCTCACTTGCCTGCCAAGCACAAGGTCCTGAGTTCAATCCCTGGTACTGGAGGGAAAAAAAAGGGCTAGGGATGTAGCTGAGGGGTAGAGCATGCCTGGGTTTAAGCAGCAGTATAACCTTACAGGAGGAGGCTTGCCTCGACACTTTAAATCCCTTCATAATTCTAAAGGCAGCCATTGTCATGGGGCCTGCAGAGATTTTTTAAAAGTAGTTCTCATACATGTGCTAACCAGAGTGACTTCATCAGAATCCTCTGGTAGTGCGGTGGGGTAAGATTTACCTATACCTCTAAAGTATAGCCCACAGGCATTTTATTAGAAGAGTACCCTAAAATAAAGTTAGTGGGGACTGAAGGGAACTGCCAGTCTTTTCAGTTTGTGTAATAGTGTAACTAAATGGATCCCCTGAGATCAGATAATGTCAAAAACTCTGTGTCCTACGTGAAGCACTTACCCAATACATGAAGCCATGTGCTTAGGTTATATGGAATTAGATAGGCACCTGTTTAAATTTTAGAATAGTAATTATAATTCAGAAATTCTGGACTTCTGATGTATCACAGACAGAAGATAGTTGCCTGAAGGTGTGGATGTTCATGTTTGCCTTCGTGGAGAAGGGTGTTAAAAAAATTAACTCGGGTATTCTTTATTCACAATCTTTATTTCTTGCGGTTCAGTTACGTGTCAGTTGGTCTTTTGAAAAACTAATCCTTCTTATTCATTATACATTTTACCCTTTCCTTCCCTCAAGGAAAACCAACCCAGGGAAGGAGCAGTATAGGGGAGCAGTTGATGTGTGTACTATAGGGTTGGGACAGATGCTTCCCCACCCATCATCCTGTACATATACAGTGAAATGGCAGCACCTCAGATGTGTCCCATGTCCCACGTTTCAGCTTTTTGTAAAATGATGCTAGTGAATGCTATGGGAAAAATAAAAATGGATTTCCATGGTAAGAAGCACACTCTTTAAACTCTCACTTGGAAAAGTCAAAAATAAGCAAATACATAGTGCAACATCTTGACCTAGCCAGGGATATTATAAATGAAAAAAAATAATTTACCTGGGCCATAGGAATGAATTTCTTTTGTCATGTTTTTCATTATGTCTCCAGCACCTGAAGTGTAGTAAGTTTCTAAAGGGATGCAGTTTTTCACACACACCTACTTCAAAGAATTTATCTACTCAAACACAGCACAGTCAAGGGAAAATTTTTTGGAGGGACAAGAGGAGCACAAGAACAAGTGTGCGTGCACACGTGCTGAGGGCCTTAGGTGTGACCAGGATGGTACACTTCACATACAGAAGCACTGAATGCTGCTACAGTGCTGCTCACAAGAGTCTGACATTAACACACAACTCAGCTGCACTGCTAAATACGGTTGTCTTTATTTTCTTTTTCCTTGCCCAGCCCTATCTAAACATAAAATGGAACTACAGGACTGAAATTAACAATCCATTAAAATCAGCAATAAGTTATGAAAATCATAAAGCTTTAAGTAATTAAGGGTAGTTAAATTATTTAAAGTATACAAAGTCCAAAAAGGGGGGTGTCCCCAGAAGGTTTCCTGGGGTAAGCTTGAGGACCAGAGGGAAACCTTGGCATTTGAAAGACAATGGGAACATGTGACATCAAAGTGCAGGCTGGGAATTTCACTTAGAAAATAACATTTCTGAAAATTTAAGAGCAACAATAGCACCTGCACAGTGGGACTGAGAGACGAGACTGTAGAAAATGGAAGCAAATCCTTACAGTAAAATGAAGTAAGTGCTGAACTTAACTATGTTAACTACGATAGTGTGTCTGCTATGGATATCAGATGGTTAAAAACTGGTAAGGGTAATGATTCTAAAAACAAAAATGGCATTGACCTTTTTCTACCTAGCCCAGACCTCGTTCCTTTTGTGCACTACAAAGAGGTGTTATTATCAAATGCTGCATCAAAATAGATTTTTCCCAATGTTTTTCCACTATAAAAGACATCTATGTTTACTTATGGACAAGCTTTAAAAAGATGTCATTTTGGTTTTCAACACATATAAACAGTTATCAAAATCTCAAAAATGCTGCCACAGCTCAGACTTTGGCCTGCTAATCTGCGTGCACAACTCACAACTCACGCAGATACAGAGGCATGTAGAGCTTTTTCCTTCTTGCCCCCGATCCATACTCAAAAGGCCTGTGTGTCAGAGGCCATCATGCGGGAGTGCCCCTTGCGGCCTAGGGGTGGTGGGCTGGTGCCCTAGTGCTAACAATACAGGATAAGGTCAGCTGGCTTAGCATGGAATCCAACAGAAAGCTGAGAGCTGCATGATGATCCCTTTCAAAAGGCTTCATGGGAGTCTCTCCTTTTGTAGAGCATGAAATGAGTTTTTGAAAAAAGAATTGATCATCCACAGGCTTCATGATAAGTTGTCCCAGGCTGAGCTGTAATAGCTCTTTAGCTACCCAAGTTTACTGCCTGATTATCTTGTCTTCCTCACTATAGATTTGATTTTGTTTCTAGGGCCATAAAGCTAAGGAAGGGTTCATAACCTCATCTTTGAATGTGTCTACTCAATGCAGTATGAGCAAACTAGAAAGAGGATGGACTCTCCAATGTCCTCTTTTGAACCAACTAAATCAAATCAAGGTAATTTCACGTTTGCTGCTGCCACTAGGAATTAGATTTTTTTTTCCAATATGAATATTCTGAATATTTGTTCTGCTGGGGAGGCTCTATCCCACTTTTTGCTAAGTATTTGCTTAACTACAGGTCTTCTGACCTTTTTGTTCAAGTATAGTTTTTGTTTAGTTTTAAAGAGGAGACTGCAACATGAACCCAAATTAAGAGATTGTATTGTATTGGCCCAGTGAATATTCTGCCCTGCACTGTTATGTCATGCTGGGTTCTAGGAAGTGAACGAAAGTTTGACACTGGCACTGGAGTAACCCTCATCACTCCCAATACTCTGCAGGCTGCTGTGGTCATCAATGTCACTGATGCTGGTGGTGCTTATATTGTCCACTTCTCCATGGGAGAACTCTGTGCTTTCAACATCCACTTCAATCTCCTCTGCCAAAAGAGAAAAGAAAGGCATTAATAATCTATACACGCCTCTTTGAAGATTAAGACATGAAGAAAAACAGTATAAAATGTTATACAACACGCACATTATCAGTGATCTTTGCAGACAGACAAGGTGAAGAGTATTTTCTCCACAAAAAAATGTCTGCTATACCATGGTCTTAATTTAGGCAGCAAGTTTACTAAAACCCTTTGATGCCAGTCTGTCTGGACCTCTCTCTAAAAGCACTCCGTCTATTTGGGAATTAGTACTTAATATTAAAAGATCCCAACATCTAACATCTGTTTTGCATTAAACCAGAAACTAATTCTCAGTGTTGTTTCTTAATCAGGGCTGCCTTAAAAGAAGAAGCATAAACTTTAAACCAGGCAAACTAAAAAAAACAAACAAACTAGAAAACGTGTCCATCAGGACCTATGATGGTATTCTATAGATAATTCTACAGACTTTTACAATTTATCTTAAAATTTTTTATTCAGTAACTAAAGGCAATCAAAGTAAATTTTGACAGATTTGTCTTCCAATTTAATTTCCTTGCATCAAATATAGCTTGAAATCTCATATTTTTTTGTGGGGCTGAGAATAGAACTCAGTGCCTCATGCATGCTAGCCAAGTGCTCTGCCTGATGAGCTACATCCCCAGCTCCCAAATACAGCTTGAAATGAGAACTTGAGATTTAAAATGAGTTTCTAGATTACAGTGAGATATATAAAGAATTAAAGACATTATGGGTGGACTGGATTTAGCTCGGTGGTTCCACTGCCTGCCTTGAAAGCACAAGGTCCCGAGTTTGATCCCATTATGGTGGTGGAATTTGGCATTAAAAACCAAACAAACTCCTTAATACATACATAGCCATAGCTATCATATTTTGTTAAATACTGAAATCAATATTTAATAATAATACTTTTTAGGAAGTTTAAAATTGCTTTTTTTCCCCTTAGGAACTAGAATTAAAAACTCAGGATTTTTCAATCCTCTTAAAAGACAAACACAAAGCCTGAAGTTCCATATTTGACTTAGATGAAAGATCACTGGCAGTTATTAAAGCAATGAGAATTCATTATTTGTTTGGAAATTTCCATTTAAAAAGGCAAAACAAAAACAAAAATCTGTCTTTTTTAGGAAAAAAGCCTTAGTGGCACTGTCTAGTATTTTAGTCTACTCAAAATCTCATTAGTTTCATTTTCTCAAATAGGCTTAAAGTCCTCAACGTTCTCCTGGGGGGGTCTTACTGGGGTGTAAGGCCTGGGGGTGGGTTGAGGCTAGAGATGAAGACCAATAAAATTCAGATTCTTTTTTTTTTTAGAAAGGGAGGGTGGTTTCTGTTCTTTAATTCTACCAAAGACAAATGTCCTACCGTGAGTGGAAAGAGAAATTAAGGATGTGGTACTTACAAATATTTATCACCGGTAATACAAGATCAGTGTATCTTCTAACACAATGACTTGAAGGGCACAACATGACTTCTGTGATATTTCTTGCTCCAAATAGATACCTTCAATCTAATGATCTTAAAACATCAGACTAACAAAAATGGGGAACACTATGAAGTTTACAAAGTGTTATGGTCATTGAAGGAAGACCAAAGAACTATAACATAATAGGGGATTCTGCATAGGGTCCTAGACCTGACAAGGACATCAGTGGAAAAACTAATCGGGCCCCTACATGGAACTGAACCCACAGCTTCATGAATGCTGGGAAGCACTCTACCACTGTGCCACACCTCAGCCTTATTTTTTACATTCTGAGACAAGGTCTCATCAAGTTGCCCAGGCTGACCTTCAACTTGTCATCCTCCTGCCTCAGCCTCGCTAGTAGCTGGGATTACAGATGTGTACCACCATGCAAAGCTCATTAATAGTATTATACCAGTGTTAATTTTGTTTCCCGTACTTATAATGGTTATGTAGTATGTCAGCATAAGTGGAAGCTGGGGGAAGAGCAGACAAGAATCCCACAATTTTCTACAGAAAATCATTTAAATATATAAAAAAGTTGATATATATTCAAGAAAAAAAAACCCTTGTAATTCACACAAGCACTGGAAGACAATGTGATCGCATAAAATGTAGACTGTAGGGCCGGGGATTTAGCTCAGTGGTTCCACCGCCTGCCTCGCAAGCTAAGGACCCGAGTTCAATCCCTGGTACCAAAAAAAACAAAACAAAACATAGACTGTCACAGTACTGGCTAAAAAGAAAGCAAACTGTGTCTGCCAACCTATCCTGCCTAAAGCCAGAGAGATGTTTGGCATTCATCAGAGTAGAGACACTGCCTACCTCGCTCTGAATCAGAACGATCTGAAGAAATAGTTGATCCAATGCTGTCCATTCGTATTCGTTCCATTTCTTGAGGACCCTGCAGCTGTTCTAGTCGACGCTTTAAAAATCTCTGTTCGCGTTCCAAGTTCTCGAGCTGGTGCTGGCTCTTTCTTTCAGCTTCTTCAAGTTTCTAAAATGATGAAATGATATTTACATCTGTATAGTCAAATTTTAAAATATTAAAACATTTCCGTCTAACGTATTAAAATACTCTGGCGGAGAAAATATGTCTGCGTATATAAAAATACACATGAGTACATCTTTTCTAAACCTCAAAAATAGTTGTCTATACTTTTTTTGTGTATGAAAGCTAATTGAACAGGTAATGTGTAGTTGAACAAGTAAAAGTCTGTAAAACAATCTCCATAAAGGAGAAACTTCCTATGCAGCATTGTATTTGATGGAAAAATACTGAGGGACAGACGTAGCCAAATGAAGCTATCTCCACCAGAGGGCAGAACTGCCTCCTTTCTGACTAGTAGAAGGGTGATTGTTATTTTCCAAACATTCTCTAGTCTTCAAATGGCCACACTCAAAATAATTTAGTCTAATCAGTTTATGTTGCTGCCATCCGATTAGCTGGTAAGTTTTTAGAAATCTCTTGATATCAGTTATAAAAGAAGGCATGGTGAGCTAGCTGAATGAAACCAGGATCCAGAGAATCATACACAAATCTGAAAGTAAAAATTCTCACCTTGATATGTGCTTTGGCTTTGTTGAGCAAGCCAAGCGTTGTGTGCCTGGTGCAGTCTGGTCCTAGCGGAATCAAAACTTTTAAGCGTTCTAAACATAGGCGCAGATGAGCTCGCCTAAGAGACAGAGTCAAGTCAGCACAGCCTGGATATTGCACTGGAAACGTCATAAAACCTATTTTAGGACAATAATTTGTATTTACTCAGCCTATAACCATGTTACAGCCCTAATTCTTTGAAGTATCTCCAAGTGTAAGGGGTCTCTGTTGTACCTTAAGATGAGTCACTTCAAATTATTAGCCCCAGTGGTAATCTGTCAGAGATGATTTTTTTAGTCCACCCTATAAACTGTCGCAACTGTATTACTATGGAAGTGCAAAAACATACTACAGCAATTGTAATTATTTCCGAATGCCTAAAATCACAGGCTGGAGTAGGGATTTTCAGCACCTCAAGAAGGTATAAAATGTTCACCAAGTTTCCATTTCCTCTCCTGTCTTTTAATGACATGTACACATACACAACATACCATTACCTCGCTGCAACTGTAGCCATATCCTACAGCATGTTACATATTTTTATTATATGAACTTCCCGATCTTCAAATATTTATTTATAAAAATGGCAATTTCATATGACTTGACAAATAGAAACAACTATTCTTTGACTTTGCCAGGATAAGGTTAGACAGATTAATTCTAGCTACTGAAACAACCCCCCATAAGATAGTACATTTGATACTGACTCATTAACTTGTATTTCTTCCTCTTAAACCCTCTCACTATTTGCCTCATTTTTCTACACAAGGATAACAGTTCTTTACTGAAAGTCACTGCACTCTCTGGTCCATCCATCTTGTGGGATGCGCAGATTCTTCCTGGAAATGCTAGCAAAAAGTTTCAGGGATTTGCCTTCCCTGTGCTCTGAAAGAACTGATCATGGTGATGACAGTGAGTTTCTCAGTACATAATTTCATTCTAGAACAATACTAATCCCTGTCTTGGGCAGTGCTTCATAAGGTATAACAATTCAGCAGTTACAGTATATCTGAAAAGGAAAACCACAAATGTGTTCATAATTTACTCCTGTTTTAAAAGATTCTTGGTTACAGCCGAACTTCTGGCATCTATCTCACTGCAACATGAACAAGACACCCTCCATTTTCTTTCCAAAGGAGACCAAAATTGTTTCACTAGCTCACTCAAACTATGGTTTCTTTGTCTTAACATACAAGAAGTAACGTCAAGTGAAATTCTCAAGTACTACCATTTTCAAAGAGGCTTAGGAGAAAGCACTAAGAAGCCACTTATTTCACTGGCAAAAGAGGATGACTAAGAGTAGTGAGGTCAGAGGTTTGGCTACTGAGTTGTTGAGATTCTTCTAGCAACCACTAGGCCCAGCTACAGTAAAAAGTCTGTTAGAATTTCCATTCCAATTCTCCTGATCTCACCACCTCAACACTAATACTAGGGCCAGGCTAAAACCTGACATACTTGTGGAAAAGGAATTTTTTTTATCTTCTCTAAAGATATATCAATAGATTCCCTGTAATGATACCTTTTTTTTTTTTTTTTTTTTGAGGCACTGGGGATTGAATCCAAGGCCTTCACACTGGCCTACATTTTAATTTTTTTTTTATGTTGAGACATGATTTCCCTAAATTGCTCAGGATGCGCTCAAATTTGTAATCCTCCTGCCTCAGCCTCCCAGAATGCTGGATTACAGGTATGCACCATCACACCTGGCAATCTTTTAACATTTTAAAGTCATTCTATTCTGCCAACCTCATAATTCAAACCTCAGGTAAGGAAGCTTCACATGATCAGACTGTTCTTGCTGAGCAGACCAACAAAACAAAAACCACACATAGAAAATGCCTTTAAATTCATCATATTATTGTAGCATAAAAATAAAGGCGCTATTCTGAATTCAGTCTTCCAAAAAAGTTATCAAAGCAATTAATAAAAATACCTCAAGAACAGCTTTGATTTTGTTCAAATTACTTTAGAAATTCAGTATACACAGGAATTATTTTTTGCATTTTAGTTTAAGAAACTTACGATTCCTTACGATAGTTTCACATCAAGAATAAAAAGGGTGAGTTAATTTCAATTTCCTGTTTTGTAAAACTAAAACAATGAAAACAACAATATAATGTCTCTCTTTTTAAAAATTATTCAGTTGCATATACGTGACTTTTGTGTACTCAGCACTGTTCCAGACACTTGCTTGAGCATGAAAAGTAAAAAACATTCTTTTGTTTCATTTGATTCATACTGAAATGAGTTGTGCAATTATCAAGAGCAACAGACTGAATAAAGGGGGCGTTTTGTAATTAGAGGAGGTAGACATATAAAAGAGGTTGAAACTTGACTTTGGACTTGAAAGATACTGAATTTGTTTATGAAAAAGCAAGGATTTTCCAGGTAATTGAGAGTAAGCAGACCAAAGCTTACAGATTGGGACCAAATTTAAGCCTAAAATTAAAAATACCTTTATAGTTTCTTTCATTCGAGAGAGAACTGATCAGGCACTCAATAAAAAAAATACCAGCTAAGTTCAGCAGTCTGGGAATCTTCAATAAATTACCTAAATTTAAAAAAAAAATTACTTAAATTTATTAGGTGGTAAGTCAGGAGTTACCTGCACCCAGGAAGTCAAGATTTAAATAATGCCTCATTGCAAAGAGAAGACAGAATTCTCTTTAAAAAATTTTTTTATTCCCCCTACTGAGCATTTCTTCAGTCGAGCAAATGTATGTGCTCTGAGATACAGCATACATCAAGAAAACAGCCTCGGTTCACAAAGGCCAGTGATGCCGTGCTCTGTGCTCTGTAATACAGTCCTCCAAGACGGGCACCTGCACGAAGGACGGGCATGAGTGATGTCCCCTCTCCAGTGGGAGCTACATGTCACTTCCTCAGTTTTCGTACACACAAATGAAACAGGCATTTGGAAAGTAGAATAAAAAAGGGCTAACAATGGCAGCTGAAAGTCAGCAGCTGACCACATTTTTCATAATCTCCTCCCAAGAAGGCACAGTTTCCACATGTGTTTCTATTCCACTTACAGAAGTGCACCCTTCCAAGAGCAAGGAATACCTCGTGGCTATAAACTGGAAAGAGTTAAATCACATTCATATGTTTTTTTCTTCTCCAGCAAATTTCTAGAACAAGAAATGTAGGCAAATTCTTTCCTTACCATCGTGCTGTGCTGTACCCTTTCCCTGTAGTATCCCTGTTGGTAACCAGATTACAAACTTAACTAACCACTAACGACCTAGACAGGCATATATATCTTTTGATGCCATCTGCTCTTTTCTTGCCTTCATTCTCATGTGACTGGCGGCTCAGGAGCCTCTTGAATGAGGTTGCCAAGTCATGGGCTATAAGACTGGGACAAGAAGAGAAGATGAGACACAGAAAAAGGCTAGATTTGAAAAATCTTTATTCACTGAAGAAAAAGAAGAAAAAAGCAAGTATTATACAATGATGTTTTTCCAAGTCCCCAAGAAATAGGAGGAACTGACATAGAGAATAAAGACTGAAGTATGGTCTTGTACCTGACGTTGTAAACTTTGTACAACTAGACCATGGAAAATGATTTTTTAAAAAAAATTTAAAGCTCCTGGTTGGCATTTACTTAACTTTTATTTAATACATATGCCTGTAATCACATAGATGATTCAACAAAAACTCTAAGCTAAAATTTTTTTCTAAATTAACTAAGTGATAGTAAAGCAAAGTTAGGGTTAGACACTCCACAAAGAGGTGAACTGTGAGAGAACTCAAGTCTCCTTGCTGAGAGAGAGCTAGTGAATGGAAATACCAGTTATCTTTTATTTTCAAAAACACTGTGAACTCTGTTCTAAAATGAGATTGGAAAGTGGATTTTACTCAGGGGAAAAAAGCAATTCCCATCCACTAGCCCTGTTAGAGAAAAGAATCCTATTAAAATTGCCCACACCTTCAAAAAGGGCAAGCCCTTTATGGGAAAAAGAACAATTA